TGTACCTGCGCATCATATAGAGTGAGAGGGGTATCTATCGAGAAGAGGTGATATCCAGTAGCCAGGACATGTTGTACAGAGGCCTAAAGCTATAAATATAGGTAGAACAGAAGTTTATAATTGAAAAGGAAGGTTTGTGGACTAAAAGAACCCGTTAGCGAGCACGAAAAGAAAGGCATTGTCCCGGTTACAAGTGAGTAACGTCATGTCCATATCATTCTTCCTCCCCTTCGTCCTCCTCTTGGATCGGGTGGCGGAACGCCGGCCCAGACCGACTTGCTGGGAGTTGCCTCCTCCCAGTGCCACCCCTCGACTCCGCCTCGTACGTCTCCGCCGGAACGGGTGACATCCTCTCCGCAGGTGAATGCCCTGCCTTCGGCTTCCCAGAGCCTGAAGACCCGCTGCCTGACGACACAGAGCCACGATGGGTGCCGTGACTGTGATTATGCGAATGACTGCTCGCACGCTTCGTCGAGCGATGTCCCCTTGGCGCAGGTGCTATTGTCACTGGTTCCACATGCGTCCCCGCCATGCCCCCGACGGCAGACGTTCCTACGCCCATCTGTCCCAAGCCACCCGCAAAAGGTTGGATATCGTCATCCTCATCCACCCAGTCGCTTTCATCGCCGAGGCTGAGTGACTGGCGCCCGGAAAACACGTCACGGATCGATGCAGGGTCATTCGCAGGCGAGATGACGAGGATCTCGATCGGGAGGTGCGCAGTGCGTGACTGCCAGCCTGGCGGCTCGAGCCCCCACGCCTTCTTCCAACTTGAGCGACCGAAAGAGGCAGAATATCCATGCCCGGGCACATGGGCGTGTGAGACTGGACTCATGAAGGGGCCGGTACGCTTTTGTGCGATAAAGGTGGTATTGATGGCATTGGAGGACCGACGAGGCTCGTCCGCGGAGCGGCGCGACCGGGACTTGTACGGTGAGGTGGTACGGGGGCCTTCACTATCTGAAAACTCGTAGAATGATGCCGGGCGTGAGGAGGTTGGTGAGTGCAAGGAGGACGTGGCGGAGTTTGAGCGCATATGCGGGGGGCGTGCTGTGGTTTGCCGGACCACGCGAGTCGTTGATGAACCTGAGCCTATTCGGCGATGATATTTCTGCATCGGAGATGCAGTACGGAGATGGATAGAACCAGCCGAGCTTTGCGATGGCGATTTACGGTGGCGCTGCATAGAGAAGCTCCGGATGGACGATGGGCGAGACGAGCATTCGCCTCGCTCGGAGTTTGGTGTGTGGCTACCGAAGGATCGCCTCGTAGGCACCTGCGGAGAGTCTATCACCATCATCTGAACAGATGTGCCAGATGAGCGGCGCGAATTGACGCTGCTGGAGCGCCTTGAAGAGGCGGAAGGTCGGGGCCGATGGCCTCGGGAGCCGAATCTGCTACCAGACGAGCCTCTGCGTTTCGCAGTGCCCGGAGTATATGGTTGCGAGGGGGCAGTGAGTGGCCGGCTGTACGTCATATGTGGATTGGCACTCGCAGTCGAATCTTTGCGTTTTCCTTTCTTGTCTTCGTTAAACCAAAGCCTAAACGCAGTCAGGATATTAGCGCGATTGCGATGGGGTGCCCTGCCCGCGGGCTTTGCCGTTGTTTCAGAGAAGTTTGGCGTCGATATGGATTGGGGGAATTCATCACCCGGGGTGTTGGTGGGCGTAGGTGGGAGTCCCCCACCAACGTGGTGATGTTGGTGCGAGGAAGTCTCACCCGCATCCGTAAGGATCCAAGGTGAGCCTATCTGGGGGTGAGAATGACGGGACTCCGAGGGTGGCGGTGTAGAGGGATGGTCCTTTGATGGTTTCAATGGTGGTGATTTGGTCAGCTTGGATGAGCCACTCCCATGTGAGCTCCTCGGTTCCTCCCCACTCGCAATCCTCCTGTCCATGTCCTTCGACTTCTCGCGCTCCCTTTCCTTTTCCTTTTCTTCGCGTACAGCTTCTGAAGACTTCTTCCTGACCAATCCGGCGGCCTCCAAAGCAGTCGTTGCCCGTTGCATGATACTGACGCTTCCCGACCTCGCTTTGCGACCCTTCGTTTCTTTATCTCGCAAGCTCGATGCAGGAGTTGACGGATGAGATTTGGATGACGTATCGGAAGGCGACAGGAGAACCAACTTCGTAGGCGTGGATGGCCGGGGTGGAGTAGTAGAACGCTGGAAGGTTGGCGTCGGGGGCACGAAGGCGAGCTGCGGTGCAGACCTGGCGAGGCTCAAGTTCGTGCCATTGTCCGTCTGAACGCCGATAGAAACCTTTCGATTCTTGCAAGGTTTGACTTCAATAGGTATCAAAGGCTTGATGGGAGAATCCGGAATATCCGGCAACGAGGAAGTCAATGGATCGGTCCCCTCCTCAATGTGACGTCTCTCCGCCTTCTTCTTCAGCATCCACCACACGGCCCCTGATGCATCACATGCATCCGATAGAACTGAATGCACTATCTGCGCAGTGTCAAAACCGAGCATACTGAGGGTATTTAGGAGCTCCCGCTCGACGGGGGTGGAAAAGATGATGGGCTTCGGAGTGGAGAGCAAAGACGCAAAATCGAGATCGCGACTGGTAGGGGGAGGGAGAGATGTCGGAGTTTTTTCAGTCGTCGGTGAGGCGGGATCAGACAGGGTTGATGATACCGAGCGACGCTTTGTGCGTGCGGGTGTGCGGGTGGGAAGTACGGGGGGCGCTTTGAACGAACTTGTAGAGCTTTGTCGAGGGGGCGGTGGTAATGGACCTGGGATATCCTCTTCTTGCACTGTTTCAGGCTTAACGCCGGTACGAGACATTTTTGAATACAAGGACTCTATTTCAGAGGAGGATTTCCGGATGGTAGTTTGACTGGGATTGCGGTGGAGGCCAGGCATGTCGAAAGGGTCATTTGGGTTCTCGTCAGGCGTCGTAGGCGCAGATGTATGGGTCTCAGAGGAGACGAAAGGCGAGTCCGAGATCGAACTCTCCGAGGAACGTAGGGAATCAGGCACGCCAGTGTCGTGGTTAGAAGTGGTTTGGGTTGGTTGTTGGTGCGAGGACTCTTCTGCATCGTATGAAAGATCTCGAGCGGTAAACCAGGGGTGTGCTAATATTTGGGGTATTGTGAGGCGCCTGGCAACATCCTTCTGGAGGACGTTCTTGATCAGATCTCGAGATTCTGTGCTCCAAGATTAGCAGCCTTTGACGAGCGATATAAAAGATAGTACCAATGGAGAGCCAGTCCGGGTCTTCAAAATCTCCCTGAATGATTAACTGACGCATCACATCTTCGTCGTCGTCATCAAACGGGAGCGTCCCGGTGAGAAGGCAGTACATGATGATACCGAGGGACCAGACGTCGACCTCTGTCACACTTGTGAGAGGCTTTCAAGAGAGCGGGGGTTCACACATACCTGGCCCCTGATATTTCTTTCCCTGCAGCATCTCAGGTGACGCGTAGCCCGTGGTACCACAGAACGTTTCCATGAAGCTGCCACGTTCAAATTCCCGCGTGAATCCAAAGTCCCCGAGCTTGACGCGACACCGCTCATCCAGGAGGACGTTCTCGAGCTTCAGGTCTCGATGAACGATTCCGTTCTCGTGCAGGTACGCAACGGCCAGACAAAGCTGGCCGAAGATAATCTTCGCCTCTTCCTCCGCCAGTCTTCCCTTCTCTGCCAAGTAGTCGAATAGCTCTCCGCCGCAGCACAATTCAGTGACTATCCAGATTGACGATTCGGTTGCGATGACCTCGTACATCTGCGTGACGTGTGGATGATGCAGCTGGCGGTGATGATGTATCTCGCGAGTCAGCGAAGCAGACATGGCCTTCGGAATCTGCTTGATGGCGACTCGAGTCGAAGTCAGACGATGTGTACCCATTCGAACTTTTCCATAGGCTCCTGAGTTCATGGTCAAGCGATGAAAACTCGTTATTGGTACAAGCTGCTGCTGAGAGCTCACCTTCCCCAATAACCTTCCCAAGAGTATAGTTTCCGACGACTCTGATTTTCGTCGACGAGAGCTCCTTCCCCAGTTCATTATAGGCATTAGCAAGTTGAGCTTTGTGGTTCTGGGTCACGGAACCTGTGTGTTTGTGACCATTCACCGAGGGCATAGCAGCATTTACAGAAGTTTAAGATATGAAAGGAAGGGATAGGGCTCAGAGGCCAAGAGAAAAGGCAAAAGTGTCGAGCTTGAGGAAGTATTGCCGGGAGGTTGGATGCTAGAGGTGTGGCGTGGGAATTTATGATCCTCGTCAGACAAGGATCGAGTCCATCATGATGATCTGACATCCATCAATCCACCATCACATCAACCACGACCATTGTCAAACTTGAAATTTTTGAAAAGTTGAAACTATTCTTCAGTCTCTCTCTAGTCGTTTCAAGAGTGGGAGATTTAGGCTCAAAAATTCCTCACTTATACGCGCTCTAATACACATCTTCCTGTTGAAGTCAGGCGCTGGGTGAATGGACAAGTCACCTCCAAAAAATTCAGCATCTTTCCCCCTTTCGAGGAAAGACGAAAATCAACGAAATCATCATACGTCAGACGATTTGTGTCAATGCTTGTACCGCGATATTCACCCCTGGAACTTGTGGACCTCATGATCGACAGCCTTCAGATGGTCACAAAACCCTGCCAACATGCGTAACTGGGTCCTTCTAGCCGGATGCATCTTTTTCTTCTGTCAACCTTGTCGCGAATAATATATATTCTCCAGCTTTTGATAATCAAGAAAATCCTAGACTCTAAGCACCAGACCGTTACGCCATATACGCGCGAGATCAAAGCCTATATCTTTGCGGGATCGTAGGTCCATCCCAAGTCTATCCAGCCTAGAATCGTTATCTTCTTCCCCCTTCACTGCCAGTGCAAAGACGCTATATAATGTGTCCTAACATGCTCGCGGGCACAACCGATCAACCCACTGTAACAATTGCCAAATTCCTGAAAACTAGACATTCTAGGCACTGAGGCGCAATTACATGACACTCATGACACTGTGTCTCGATATTTTAACGCGCATTAATGGGGTAGTGGTAACCTGGGTCGTTGCCATGAGAGGTATTTATCTCGACCCGCCGGGAGTTCGATTCTCTCTTAATGCAAAGACTTGTTTTCCTTTTAACTAGTACTGACTCTTTGCCTCATGCACATGGCCGAACCTTGTGGCGTTTCTCACCTCACTCGGCGCATTATGGGTCGTTGCCATGAGTGACAGTCCGATTCACTTGTTTCGACCCGCCAATTTGATTGATTATCTCTTAATGCATTGGCCACCAGCTCAAATACATCTGGAGTTTGTACATCTTGTGCATTTTTAATCTACTTCTTTGACATTTCCACTCACTCTTTCAAACCTGGGACTGTGGCACCTGAACGGTGAAGTCAACGTATACAGACATCTGTATCCGCCACACAAGAGCAATACATAGAGATATGTGCTAACGCTATTCAGTATAATTTGGGGGGGGGGCAAGATCAATAGTAGTCAACACACAGTACAGTGTACACACATAGAAAGTCCGAAAGTGGCAAGTAGAAGCGAAAAGTCACCGTATAGTACTGATACAATATTTCATTTTCAGTTTCAATGGCTTGAGAAAACACACAAAGGATACAGAAAAAGAAAGAAAATCAGGTCCGACCAAACAGGTGATTCGGATCGATTATTCATTTTTGCTCATGGGGTCCAGGGGCGTTCAGCTCTGCTGCGCGTGCGCGCAGCTCATCTCGGCCCTATAAAGTTCGATGGACTGTGAATGATAGATGATAGCGAGAGAAAGGACCCCGACGCACCAAAGGCTGCTCGAGATTGGACTGGATCTCCTGGCTTGGGACGTACGGATCACGCGCATGATGCGCCGCCATGGGATCGCTTGTCGCAAGCCCGCCGCCTGGCTGCTGGCGCTGCAGATCGGCTGGATCGTTCGTTTTCTATCCAGGCATGATAATCAGTCCAGACTCATTCGAAGTCCACATCACATGTACTGTGCACAATTGGTGAGATGTATGGCAGAGACACGTACGGCAGGGTGTGGCTGAGTCGTGAACTGCTGCTCCTGGGGCTCCGCAGACTGGGTCGCCTGACTTGGGAAAGTTTGAGTGGGAGGAGCGTCGGTGGTGGACTGAGCCTGCTGCCCCTTTTCGCGCGAGCCGCTCTTGCGGGACGCTTTGGCCTTGAGCTTGCTGAAGAATGACATAGACGGCGGTTACAGCGCGCGAGGTATAGAGATATGGATACGATGTGCGGCGGCAATGGTGGTGGTGGTGGTGAGCCGGGGGAATGGCAAAGCGGGGCTTCAATGGCACTTTATAGGTGTCTATTATTGGAGATGATGTCATCGTGTCGCATTGAACACAAGGGCAAGTTAACGAAAAGCTGGATAGCATTTGTGAATTGAATGAAACAGAGAGGTTGAGATAGGCGGAGATGCATATGCAAATAGGACTATACTACTGATAGCAGGATATGAGCTTTCCAGGAAGATTTGACACGTCGACAGGGTGGGGGTATATTCGTCTTTATCTTCGTTCATGCGTTCATCATCTGTTGGTCGAGGTCAGTATCAAGTATCGCATCGGCAGCTGGGCTGGCCGCATGCGTACCTTTTTGAACTCTGAGGATAGGGGGGAGGCGCGGTGTATGTTAGACAAGTAGAGGGGGGAGGATGGAAGAACGCACCGGACAAGCTGATCTCTCCATCGCCATTCTGATCTGCCTCCTGCATCATGGCCTCGAGCTCGCGGTCCGTCAGGTAAACATCTACGTGCACGCAAATCAGATAGTACATCAGCACTGCGCCCTCCTGCGGCACAAAGTGAATCTCGGGCGCAACGCACTCAAGCTCTGCATGACAAGCCTCAACTCATCCGTACTGATCGACCCGCTCCCGTCCTTATCGAAGACCCTGAACGCGAGCTCCATCTCCTCGTCATCGTCGACACCCTGTATCGTCTTTGCCATCATCGTGAGGAACTCGTCAAAGTCAATCGTCCCGTTGTGGTCCGTGTCGACCTCGCGGATCATGTCGCGCAGCTCAGAGTCGGACGGATTCTGCCCCAGCTTGCGCATAATCGTGCCTAGCTCCTCGTGCGTGATCGTGCCATCGTTATCTGGTACACATGGAGTCACGATGATAAGTAAGTATAATAGACCGGTGAAGGGTGCGACGCACCTTTATCGAACAGCGCAAACGCCTCCCTGAACTCTGATGTGAATACAAAATGACGATGAGCGCCCGTTTGTTCCGTCTCTATCGCTTAGTCGAGCGTGCGTACCTTCGATCTGCTCTGTAAGTAAAACAACACAAAGTCGAGAGTGGTTGTCAGGAGATCGCGGACGATCGACGCCCGCTACGTTCGTTCATTCTGGTAGGTGAAGGGGTACCACGAACCTGGGGTCTACGGCGACAAAGCGAAATAATGACGTCAATGAGTTGATGATGGACTGTGGACAAGAGGTGGAGGACGAGGACACACCATCTGTTGGGCCATCGTAGTCTGTATTGCTGGGGTTGAGCAGGCGTGCAAGCGTGTCCAATGGAGGAGAGTGAAACAGCTGTCGCGATTGATGAAGCTGAAGAACGGTAGTGGAGGAAGGAACAAGACAGAAACTTTGACAAGGGCTGCGGATTATTTATATCATTGATGTTGAGTGCTTTCAAGCCGTGTCTGTTAGCCTTACCTCGCGGTCCGCTCGCGTTTTTTGCACAGCGTCGCGGGTGGGCGTCTTTTGCAGCATTGTACGATGATGTATGTGATAGAGCGCGGTAGCTGACAGCTGTGCACCAATTTTTGCAAGCACAGCCTTGGGTGGTACGGGACGCGCGGCAAGGGCGCAAGCGATCTGATGTGATCAGTCTAGACTTAGGAGCCATTCACAGGGGAGGCGTAACATACATGGGGAGGATATAAAGTTACACAAGACTACCAGAGTTATTTATTTAAACAGTCCACCGTTCCTGATACATATTACGCGCGAACAGCTTCAATGCACCATCGGAGTCGATCGAGGAGGCGGTTACTTGGACAGCATCATCTGTGGGGAAAGGAAGAAGGCAAATTTAGGGTGGACACGCGTTGGCAACGGAGGCAGTATATGTGGTGTACCTTGACAAACTCTGCGGGGAAGGAGAGCCAGTGGTCAGTGGGGTGTAGAACAGAAGGAGGACGTAAACTTACCGTCGTAGTTGATCTGCCCATCGCCATCGACGTCTGCTTCCCGGATCATCTCATCGACCTCGTTATCGGAGAGCTTCTCACCTGCACAACACAGCGAATCAGCATCCATTGTCCTCTCCCCCGTCTATCCACACCAAACACCAAATTCCCAAGCCCCAATCAAACCTCTGAACTACAAATGAATGACGCACCAAGGTTCGTCATGACGTGCCGGAGCTCCGCCGCACTGATATAGCCGTTGCCGTCCTTATCGAACACCTTGAACGCCTCCTTGATCTCCTCCTCGCTGTCCGTGTCGCGCATCTTGCGCGCCATCATCGTCAGAAACTCGGGGAAGTCGATCGTGCCGTTCCCGTCCGCGTCCACCTCGTTGATCATGTCCTGCAGCTCCGCCTCAGTCGGGTTCTGCCCGAGCGACCGCATGACGGTGCCGAGCTCCTTGGTGGTGATCGTGCCATCGCCGTCTAGAGGGGACGTACGTGTAAGCAAAGAAGAATGGATGAGATGGCTTGATGGAGGAGTAGACTGAGAGGGGCCTGTGGTGGGATGAGACTTACCCTTGTCAAACAAGGAAAACGCCTCCTTGAACTCTGTCCAGATATACGTGAATTAGACGTGATCCTCTCCTCATCCCAACTATAAGACCGCGGACGCACCGGAGATTTGCTCTGCACACGAAACAATCACAGCGTGGAGTCGTCAGTCGTCAGTCATGTTCCCCAAGATAGGATCGTACCTTCAGACTGTGGAACAGAAAAGAAGTAAAAGTCAGTTGTTAGTTCAGGATAGAGGATATCATAGCATAGCTAGAACAGCGACATACGAGTTGGTCGGCCATGGTTTTAGTTTTGTGTGCGTGTGGGCTCCGTTGAGTTGGTGGCGATGAACGCGGGCTGAAATCGCGGCAATCGCCGTGCTCGTGCACGACGTCGATGAGCTGCTCAATACGCTCCTTGCGATGCACGTGTGGTGCCAGGACCATCCGGGCGTCGGGAATGGCGGTAGTGCAGGCCCGGGGAGTGGGAGCGGGCCAGTTGGCGGCGCTCCGTCGTCGATCATTCTTAATGCGGAACAGTTGCTGAGTGCAATCGGGCTGGGCAATGTTCTCCAGGTCGATGGGACCGTCACTGGGCTCGGCGATGGCATCAATGGGCTAGTCAACCCCCTCTTGAATGGTCTCGGCCTGGGCGGGCTGAGGCGCTGGTTGGCTGGTCGTTGAAAAAAATCATTCGTTCATTCGTTTCTTGGGGAGTGTGTCGTCGTCGGTGGTGAGTCTCTGTAATGCTCCTGTTTACTCCCCCAGGCTAGAACTCGTTTATTAGAACTTGGCTCATTTCGTTTCAAGTTTTGTTTCCTCTTACCTGCCTGGACACTGGACCTCTTCATCCGCTTAGTTCTTCGTATGTTCGCTATACCGTAGTCAGTTACTTAGTTCAAAGTCATAGTCGGTAGTTACATTGGTCTGCTCCGTCTGCGCGCGCGACGCTGTAGATTACAGAATATAATCATGTTTTGAATGCCCGAGCGGAGGTAATTTTAGAGAGTACGTCTCGGGCATCGCACGCTATCCGACTCTCCCAACGCTGCGGAACGACTTCGCGTTTCACCCTCTCTCGTGATCTACAATCCCCTGAAAAACTCCTCCCAGAATTCTATCGGAGGCTCGGGCCATCGCATTGACCTGCCAAGCATGCGCAGCTTGAGGACAGGCGCAGTCCAAACTCGCAGTCATGTCCAAGTGCTTTCACTGTTCCTTGCGGCCTATAAAGACCAGCAATGCGCCATGCAAAGCTCACAAACCAATTCTTGAATGCGTTCTCAATTCTTAATCCTACTTGGGGCCTTCCTCGCCCCATTGGGCGGTGCGAACCCCGTCGAACATACCACCAGGTCCCAGCTCGTCGTTCACGAGAAGCGATACAGC